CTTCTTCTTTTATAATAAAATTCTTAAATCTGATTTTAATTTTTTTAAATACAAATTTGTAAAATTCAAAATACTAATTACACAAATCCTTGCAAAAAAATAATTATTTACATAAAATGCTGATAGTTAAAGGTTGCAAACTGGGATTGGCCCAGAAGGCCTGCCCGCCCCGTCTGCCAACATATTTTTATAATTAATTTAAAATTCCACTATTCGTCTTTTATAATTAAATTTCTAATTCAGATTTCAATTTTTGTAAATACAATTTTATAAAATTTCAAATACTAACGACATAAATCATTGCAAAAAAATATTTATTTATTATTATTTTGTAAATCTAATTGTAATAAATGAAAGTTCATCTCTGAGATAAAATATAAAAACCTAGACGCAACTATAAGAGCCTTTTTGTGTGGATAAATATAAAAACCTATTAAATGCTAATAGTTAGAGGTAGCAAACTGGGCTCGGCCCGGAGGGCCTGCCCACCAACACATTTTTATAATTAAATTAAAATTTCATCCTTCTTCTTTTATATGATGATATAAAACGTTGATAATTAGAGGTGGCAAAATGAGCTCGGCCCGCGAACATATTTCCCCCCTTATATCTACTGTCTAACAAACTGGTCTTTGTATGGTTAAGATAATTAGATTTATTGCTATAAATATTTTAGAAACAAATATTTAAATAAAATGAACAATCATATTGTGATAAATAAAAGCTCATCTAAATAAAATGAACAATCAACACAACATTTAATTTTTTTTCTTCATGTATATTAATTAATTTTATTTTGTAGCAAATTTTGTGTACGGTTGAATCAATAAGACGGGATCATATTGAATAATAATGCAAAGCAGATTGGTAGTTATATTTGAAGATTGAATTATTGAGTAAATAACTATATTTGATTTGCATAATAATCAATGCCTCAGAATTGCAAAATTTTATTTGTGGTTGATATTTACAAAGTTCTGTGTAAATGTTGTAGCCTTTTAAAGTTCAAAAATAGTAAGACAATTCTTTTTTATTTCAGATAATTCTCAAATAATAGGTTTGCTTTTTTATTTTTTGTTCCTTCATGTTTATACCTCTACCATAGTACCGTTCAGAGCTTGATAGCAAGAAGGTTCATTTTTTGTTCTTTTTTATTCTATACATGTTCCTTCATGTTAGATTTACCGGTGCGATGATTAACCAATGACGGCGGCAACAATTTTATTCTTTTTTCTGCGGACATCGCACGGGATAATTTACTAGTTAAATCTTAATCCCACCAACACAACAAAATATGTTTCTATGAACACAACTTAACTTTAATATGCCACAATTAAAATAGCCCTTTCAAGTTCTCATAACATCAAATATTTCACTACATATAAAACTTTTATATCAATCAAAACACATACTTCCATTCACATATTGCATATAGACACATCATATGGACAGTTTATCACCAAATCCATTACATTTTGCATTAAGACAAAAAATTTCCATGTCATCTCAAATGCACAACTAAACCAAATTGAAAGCAAGTTTCCAAAGTCATATAGTAAATAACATCGAACATCATGATGTCAATTCAATGTATTGATACATGCATGTAAAGCCAAATGCTCATATACCGAATTTTCAATAACCATGCATGTATATGTAATGCCCTTCACGAAGATCAAGGCATCAATTCATCAAATATTTCCTATAGCATTTCATTTGTTCATAATCCATGGCTAAAACACATATAAGTAATTTATAATAACACATCCGTTCAAAAATGAAACAACGCATCTGTTTGACGAGCAAGCGACATATTTTTTTAAATTAATTTTTTTATTCATAAAAATAATTAATTTAAAAATTAATTCCAACAATATCCACGTCATTATAAAATTAGCTTTTCCAAAAGAATTTTTTTACGTTCATACGAGCTTATCATGTGTAAGAAAATTTCCATTCCCACATGTAAAAATGTGACAAAAACTTCTTTAAATGATATAATAAACAATAAAATATTCGATAAAGATTATCATAAAGTTAATAGGAATATCTAAAATTTTAAATAACATGTCAAAATTTATCATGATAAATTGCTAACTTGCTATCGCTAAAACTCAACGGGCTCTTTCAGCCTTGGAAAATGGATGTTATCCATCTTTAGATATATTTATTTAGAAATAAAAGATTAATCTTTGCTCTCTTGAAATCTCAATTCTTTTAATTGTCATTGTGTATACTGTCTTTGACTCTTTATTTATTGTTTGTGCCTAATAATTTACGACTATTTTCTTCATAAATACCAATAGTTCACTGATCCCATAACAATTACGATCCACGTCGTGATCAAACACCAGTAAACATATTGACCAGGAAAACAGCTCCAAATTTGAGTAAACTTACTGTGGATCGGGACCTTAAAAAAATTAGGTGGGACTGAGGTGTGAGAAAGAGAGAAAAAGTTGAGGAGAGAGGAGAGAGAAAAGAAAAATAAATAAATTTAATACATGTGTCAATTTTTTAGTGGAAGGACCACGGTGGTCCCAGAGCATATTAAAAATTTCCTTTCACTTGAGAGAGAATAAATATGAGCATCCTAAAAAAGTTAGTGCATATCTAGTTTTGATTGGTTATCTCCGAAAATAATTTTTATGCTGTAAATTTTATTTTTTTCAAGGAGTGACTTAGGAGGCGTTTAGTAGAGGAATTTTTTTATTTTTTTTTTACCTGAAAAACTCAATTACTGGGAATATAGTGAGAAAATGAGTACTTTGATAGGAAAACTAACAAAAAATTGTTTGATAGACCGAAATATTACTGAAAAAATTGGTGTAAATTAAAAAAATTTCATTGCCACTTTTTGATTTTCCAGGCAAAATCGGGTGATATTCTGAAGTGGACAAATAATTGCAATTTTACACATTACATCATATTCCTATGCAAATGAGGAGCCTTTGCAAATTTTTTACAAACTTTTAACAAATATGGTTTTCTTTAAATCCCATGTGAACTTTTTCAGGCAAAAAATTAAAGCTCTCCTACCAAACACCTTTAAGGTCTGTTTGGATGAGTTTTTTTTTTCTTCAAAAAGTTTCTTTTTTTAAGAAAAAAAATCACTTCTCATTATAAGTTTGTTTGAATATCTATTTTATAAAAAGCAGAAGTCACAAAAAAACGTCAAAAATTTGCTTTTTTTGAAAGATAAAAAATTTAGTTTCTAAAAAAAAGTTAAAAAATAAATACTTTTTTAAAAACTAAATATTTTTTTTAAATATAAATAATTTTAACTTGTATAAAAAATACCTTTAAAATAAGCAAGATATAAAAGATATTTCTTTTAGGCTGTTACAAGATAGGTAAAAAAATACAACTCTTGTAATTGAGCTATTTCATGACTAATAACAGTTGTTATTACTTTTTGGCATTAGGCCGCTAGATTGAATAATTATAATATTATTAAAGAAAGAAAAAGCATTTCTTTGATGATCGGAGATAAAATTATTTTTAATAAGTTTAAAGTAATATTGTTTTGAGTTAAAAAATTATAAAGATAAAGAATAATATAATTCTGAAATAAATTAAAATTATAAAAATATATTTTTCTCAACCCAAAATAATGTCATTTTGAACTCACTGAAACAAGTCATCTTCATCGACCGGAGTCACACTAGCCCCTTAAAGAAAAAATTTAAAATATTCTTAATTAATTCTAAATATTTCAACTTTAGCATAATTTTTTTTTTTCAAAACAGAGTAAAGAAAGCAGTAATTCTTTTAAGAAAGTACTAAACGAATTTTATATTTTTAATATATTAAAAGTATTTTTTAATTTGATACTTTCTTTGTCAAATATTAGAAGAATTTTTATGATCAGGTCTTATATAATAATAAATAAAACTCTAGGTTAAAAGATAATTAATGTTTCACACTGAAAAATCTCCTTTTTCATTTTTATTTTTTAAAAGCTAAGATTTCTTAAAAAGAAATTATCATATTTAATTTTTCTTATAATTTGATATATATGAATACATGATAATATAAAAAATACACTTACAATAAACTATTAACGAGTTTATATTATTTTTTTTTGTCTTAGTTCAAATAGTAATTAATTTTTTTCAATTGATTTATTAAATAACCTATTTAAAATCAATAAATATTTCACTTAAGTTATCATATTTAATCAATAATTGTATAACTAACTTTATACTTAATTAATCACAATGCATACTTCACCAGAACAACGACTTCTCTAGGTCAATCAAAATTGTCAGTGTCCAAGTTATTGTCATACATGAAAAAAAAATTGAATTTTTAATTTTGATCCATTTTGTTAGCGATTTTTTTATTTGATTTTATATTAACATATGATTTAATAAGTTTAACTGCGTTATAATTATAAAAATATATATTTATTAAACAATGTAGTAATATATTAATAAATGATAATATACATATTTTTGTCATTGAAAATACATTTTTTTTTTTGTATATAACATTGAAAATACATTAATATTACATTCAAAATAATTTAAATGCTGACAGTTTTTATTTTAAGCCATCAGGGTTGATCTTGTGATGAAGAGTTTGAGTAATTTGTATTAGATTATGTGTTCTATTCCTGTGAATGTATTAAAAAAAAAATTTATTTCCACATATTTTTAATGTAATTTTTATAAGATAACGATAGTTTTGGATTTGGTACTTGGCGCTTGGGAACAGCTAATAAGTACAACCATTTCTAATAATGGCAAAAAGCAACATTAAGTATATAAATGTGAGTTTGTGACTAAATTAATTAATAGCTCATTTATATAAAAAAATGAAAATAATATTTTAACCAAAAATATGCTAATTGGGAACGGAGTGAGCTACACAGCAACAAAAGGACATGACAAGAGACGTGAGCCATGACGACATCGTGCCATCCTCTGATAGTCTGAGTTTCCATATATTTGCCGTTATGCACTTCGTTTCTTCTTTGCAATGAACCTTACCTTTCTTCTTTTTCTCCTCACTCTCTGCACTTCATCGCTTTGTTTCCACGTCCTCCCATGACCCTTGTCCCAATCCCTAAACAAAACATCATACACGTACGTTGTCTTCGAGAAACAACACTCTCACAATACTAAATAAACAGAAGAAAGAATTATACATCCAACTTCTGTTTTTTTTTTAAACATAGGAAAAACTTATCCGTTACGCGTTCAAATGCCAAATACGTTGTCATCTCGGTTTTAGCCACCGATCATTTCAGACTTCGTGTGATACTGGTTTGTTCATTCACCATTCTTTGTTTTTATTCTATTTTATGTATAACTCTTTAGTCAAACTCAAAATGTTAAAATTCCATATTATGGTAAAAAAAAATTTGTATCTATCTCTTTTTTTTTTTTAATAATTGAATTTTATTTATTTAATGTATATGAAGAGTGAGATAAATAAATAAAATTTACATGACCACATCATCTAAAATTTTAATGTCATAGGATCCATCAACAGTACCTTTCATGTGTGTGGTCTTAATTTTTTAAGGGATATATTTTTCTTATGTTGTAGGAAAAGAACTACCTCATGTTGTAGAAATAAAAGTATAAGTGGGACCCACATGTAAGAGGAGAGAGAAAAAAAAAAGTGGTGGGACCCAACCTTTTTTGTGTGTGTAGGAGAGATGTTTATCTCATGTAAAATGAGATAAACATAACCCATTTTTTAAAGTGTTTTGTGTTATTCCTATGATTCTTTATTGATTCTCTCTCAAAGTGTGTCTTTTGTCTGGGATGGATTCTCTACTTTTAAAATTTTATGTGAATAGGAGTCACGTAATTAATGATGAGGTTTAGGTGAAATTTTAATATGAGCCTATTCATTTCCTTCTTCTGTCTACAGTGAAAGTTTTTGGGTGTCACTCACACCGATGGAAATTTCTTCAGTACTACGCGGTACTTCTTTTTTATGGAATTTTTTTTTTCCATTTTAACGTATATTTTTTTTATATAATTTCCTTTTAAGTTCGAATTTTTTTTTCCCTTTTAGTGTGAATATACATATACCTGTTGCACCAAAGGTTTTCTCACACCGACATGTCTTGGCCTTAATAAGTGTTGAGTATCTGAATGACCAATCACACAATGCTGAAACCAGTTCCTCTGTGGCTTTGCATGAATTCATGATACTGAAAGGTCACTGAGAAGTAAGTTACTTCACACAAGCACGCGGTGTTGCCCATTGTGCTTTCCCATGATCATATCTACTACTCCTTGTAGTGACTAGTTCGTGTTAGAGTCTTGATTGTAACTTGTAAGAGAAAATTATTCTTATTCTCGCATGTAGTGTTAATATTTTTTTTACTATTCTCCCTAAACATCAACGTAAACGACACCTTTATTCCAAACTAGTTTTTTTTTTTATTGTCTGTGTTTTGCATATATTTTTTTACTCTTAAAAATCAACTTAGGGATGTTTTCAAAGGATTTCTCAACGAAGGCATAATTTTGCTTCCCTTGTTTTTTTTTAACAGATTTGAGCAGCTAAGGGAAAACAAACAACATGGCGGACTTTTGGAGCGTGTTTTGTGGGGAATCTGGTTGTTCAGAGACTGGAACAAAGCCTTGTGGTTATGGTTTTAAGTTTTTGATTGATCCTTCAGCATGTATCAACCACTTGTTGATTTCTTGCATTGATGTGTTCCTGCTTATCATGCTCTTATTTATTTTGATCCACAAGTCATCATTAAAACCATTTCAGGGTCTAACACGTGTGCAAAGATATTCAAATTTGCAGCTAGTATCTGCCATAGCCAATGGTGCTCTTGGGTTGGTGCACCTGTGCTTAGGCATTTGGGTTTTAGTGGAGAAGTTGAGGAAAAACCAAACTGCGTTGCCTCTTAATTGGTGGTTGCTAGAACTCGTTCAGGGAATAACATGGTTTTTTGTTGGTTTAACAATAAGTCTTAAGTTGAGACAACTTCCAAGAACATGGTTAAGGATTTTTTCTATTCTGATCTTCTTGGTTTCTGCTATTTTTTGTGCTTCATCCTTGTTTTATGCAATTAGTAGCAGAGAACTGTCCCCTAAGGTAGCTTTAGATGTTCTATCTTTCCCAGGGACAATATTACTGCTATTATGCACTTATAAGGAATCTAAGCATAGGGACACTGACAGAGAAATTGATGAAAGCCTTTATACCCCTCTAAATGGTGAGTCCAATAAAAATGATTCTATTAGCCATGTAACACTATTTGCCAAAGCTGGATTCTTCAGCAGGATGTCATTTTGGTGGTTGAATCCATTGATGAAAAGGGGTAAGCAGAAAACACTTCAGGATAAAGATATCCCAATGTTGCGTGAGGAAGATCGAGCAGAAAGTTGTTATTTGCTGTTTCTAGACCATTTGAACATGCAGAAACAAAAGAATCCAACCTCGCAACCATCACTTTTGAGGACAATAATTTTATGCCACTGGAGAGAAATTTTGATATCAGGATTCTTTGCATTGATCAAGGTACTTGCTCTGTCCTCTGGACCTCTGCTTCTTAATTCCTTTATATTGGTTGCTGAGGGTCATGAGAGTTTCAAATATGAAGGTTTTGCATTGGCCATATCACTTTTCTTTACAAAAATCGTAGAATCCCTATCACAGAGGCAATGGTACTTCCGCTCCAGACTTATTGGTGTGAAAGTTAGGTCACTGCTAACTGCAGCAATTTATAAAAAGCAATTTAGGTTATCCAATTCTGCTAGATTGATGCATTCTGGTGGTGAAATAATGAATTATGTGACTGTGGATGCTTATAGAATTGGAGAATTTCCCTATTGGTTTCACCAGACTTGGACAACTAGCTTCCAACTATGTATCTCATTAGTAGTACTTTTCAATGCTGTTGGGCTAGCTACTATTGCCTCCTTGGTGGTGATAGTTATCACAGTGCTTTGCAATACTCCACTTGCAAAGTTACAGCACAAGTTTCAGAGCAAACTTATGGTTGCACAAGATGAGAGATTGAAGGCTAGTTCTGAGGCTCTTGTGAATATGAAGGTGTTGAAGTTGTATGCGTGGGAAAACAATTTTAAAAATGTTATAGAAGGATTGAGGAATGTGGAGCTCAAATGGTTGTCTGCAGTGCAATTGCGCAAGGCATACAACTCCTTTCTCTTTTGGTCCTCACCTGTTTTGGTATCTGCTGCTTCCTTTGGGGCCTGTTACTTTCTTAATGTTCCCTTGCATGCAAACAATGTTTTCACTTTTGTGGCAACTTTACGCCTTGTTCAAGATCCAATTAGAACCATCCCTGATGTTATTGGGGTGGTCATTCAGGCAAAAGTTGCATATGCCCGGATTATAAAATTCCTGGAGGCACCTGAACTGCAGAGTGAAAATGTCAGGAAGAGGTGTGTTAGTGAGAATATGAGGGGCTCAATTTTAATCAATTCTGCAGACTTTTCATGGGAAGATAATGCATCAAAGCCAACACTGAGAAACATAAATTTGGAGGTTAGACCTGGTCAAAAGGTGGCTATTTGTGGAGAGGTTGGCTCAGGCAAATCAACTCTCTTAGCTGCAATTCTCAGAGAAGTTCCTAATACTCAGGGGACTGTAAGTTTTATCTTTTTATTTTTAATTATATAAGCACTCGTAAACTTTGTGATACTTTAATTGGTTATAACTGGGATGACATTTCCACTTTCTGCCAGCAGTGTTATAATATCACTTAGAACAAAAGATGCATTTTTGTCATTCATTTGAGTAATAATATTAAAATGGTATCTGATTCTCTTTTCTGAATTACAGATTGAAGTTTATGGGAAGTTTGCCTATGTTTCTCAAACAGCATGGATACAGACAGGTACAATAAGGGAAAATATATTGTTTGGATCAGACATGGATGATGAAAAATATCAAAACACGCTTCATAGGTCTTCACTAGTGAAGGACCTTGAGTTGTTTCCCCATGGTGATCTCACTGAAATAGGGGAAAGAGGGGTCAACCTGAGTGGAGGTCAGAAGCAGCGAATTCAACTTGCTCGTGCTCTGTATCAGGATGCTGATATATATCTCTTGGATGATCCATTCAGTGCTGTTGATGCTCAAACTGCCACAAATTTGTTTACTGTAATGACAACTTCCTTTCTTCACCTACTACATTTGTATCGTAAAGGTCAATTTGCTGTCCCCCTGTAAAGGGACAGCCTGGTACCATTAATTTTCAATCATTTATTGACCATACATAAAAGACACTAAACATTTATGGGAAATGCTTTTCTCCTTTCACATGAGACAAGATTTTATTCCTACACATACATCGATTTTCGTGCCAAGCTTTTGTTTTTGTTTTTACTTTTTTTTTTAAATTGCTGGTCCCACTTTTTTGTCTCAGTAGGAGACAACTCTTCTCTACTGTTAAAGGAGAAAAATATTCCCCAACATTTATTGTCATAAGCAATAACCAATAAATGTTTGATTACTCATACTAGTGTCATAGGTATAACACTATCATAGTTAACACCTTAAAAATAGAGGCGAAATATTTAGGCTAAAATATACATTACCCCAATGTAATTTTGCAGTTTTTCAATTAACTCTTCTCAAGTCTTTTTTGTATTATTTAACAGTAATTATTGTTTCCCACATTATCTCTCTATTTTTTAACAATTTCTTTAAAGTTTATCTTTTATAATCAAACTTTCTATAAAAAACAAAACTTTAGGAGAAGTTGAGAAAGTTTTACACTGCCGTCAAAATCAATTAAAAAATTAATGCTTTTAACTTGATAAAAAGTTGAGTTTAATGAAAAATCCACCCCTGAATTTCACCTCAATGTTAGGGGATGCAAAAGGTTATTTACTGATGGATGGCTTTTTAACTGGACAGGAATACATTGTGGAAGGACTTGTTGGGAAGACAGTCTTGCTGGTGACTCATCAAGTTGACTTCCTTCCAGCATTTGATTCTGTTTTGGTAATTTCATTCATCTTATTAAAGCTTTGGTTATGTATGTCATTGTCAGTGGTTGTAAACTTATAATGAGTTCAAAGTTATGATGTTATATATTTTTTATTTTTTTGTCATCTTTGGCTAATTGAAAATAATGAATGAACAGAATTATTATTTATTTTTTATTTTTTTACTACAGTTGATGTCAGATGGTGAAATTCTACAAGCTGCTCCTTATCATCATCTGTTGAACTCAAATAAAGAATTTCAGGACCTTGTGAATGCTCACAAAGAGACTGCTGGTTCTGACCGGCTTATGGATGTTACTTCTTCACAGAAACATTCAAATGGTGCTAGAGAGATTAGGAAAACACCTGTGGAGAAGCAGTTTGAAACATCAAAAAGCGATCAATTAATTAAGCAAGAAGAGAGAGAAAAGGGAGACCAAGGATTCAAGCCTTACATACAGTATCTGAATCAGAACAGAGGATATATATATTTCTCTTTGGCTTGTCTTTCTCACCTTATATTTGTGATTGGCCAGATATTGCAAAACTCATGGATGGCTGTTAATGTTGACAATCCTCAAGTCACCACTTTGCGGTTGATTCTAGTTTACTTATTGATTGGAGTTACTTCATTAGTATTCTTGTTGAGTAGAAGTCTATTTATAGTTGCTTTGGGCCTTCAATCATCAAAGTCTTTATTTTCACAACTACTAAACTCCCTTTTTCGTGCGCCCGTGTCATTTTATGACTCCACACCCTTGGGACGGATACTTAGTAGGGTAAGCATATTAAACTGTTTTTTTTTTCCCGTGCAGTGAAATGCAATGACTGAAATTACTAATGTTTTGACTGTTATTTCCTTGTTTAGGTCTCCTCAGATCTCAGCATTGTTGATCTTGATGTCCCACTTGGCCTTCTTTTTGCTATGGGAGCTACTACGAATTGTTATGCTAATCTTACAGTTTTAGCAGTTGTTACTTGGCAAGTCTTATTTGTCTCCATACCAATGATTTTTTTTGCAATTCGCTTGCAGGTAATGAACAAATTATTGCAGTAATGATTTGGTGTCAGTTTTTTAATTAATTTGAGAATGTCATAATATTTAACCACGCAATGTTATTGATTGAGAGCAGATGAATACATGATATAAAGTAGATTTGATAACTGTATTTGAGGTTTTGTCACCAGAAAATAGTCATAAAAAGAAAATTCACAATATGGTTTCTGAAAGTCGGGTCACTAGAGAAATAAAAGTGGAATACAGAAAATCAGTATTTGCACATATGTTGTTTTTCATACTTGTAAGTTGTAATTTGCCTAAAGTAATGGAATCAACAGAAAGCATGCTACATATTTTCTTTTTTTTAATGTTTAACCCAAATGTATATTTAAATTTTAATTATGTTTGATTCCAATTTATTTTGAGTTTATCGCTTTATTTTTTATTATGAATTGCATGTTAGTAGCAAGGTATCATCATCACCTTTAAAGGTAGAGTGTTGGGGCAGGGGCACTAATTCATTATTTAACACGGAAGCTCTTGTCATTTTTCTTTTGGTAACTTTGTAATCATTTTTCATAGATTTAAAATATGCTTGTTAGAGAGTAAACGTACTAATCTGAGTATTTCTTTTATATAGAAATATTACTTTGCCTCTGCAAAAGAACTGATGCGGATGAATGGCACAACAAAGTCATTTGTAGCTAACCATCTTGTTGAATCTGTTGCTGGAGCTGTGACAATAAGGGCTTTTGAGGAGGAAGATCGTTTTTTTGCGAAGAATCTTAATCTAATTGATGTCAATGCTACTCCTTTCTTCCATAATTTTGCAGCAAATGAGTGGTTGATTCAACGGTTAGAAACAGTCAGTGCAGTTGTTCTTGCATCTGCAGCACTTTGCATGGTTGTACTTCCACCTGGGACTTTCAGCTCTGGTGAAACTTCTGTTATTATTGCCTTTGAAATGCCACTTTTGGTGTCTTTTAATATATGCTCTGACTTATGCAAGTATTTTAATTTAAACATGTGATGTTATTCCAGGATTTATTGGCATGGCTCTCTCCTATGGCCTTTCACTTAACGCTTCCTTAGTATTTTCAATTCAAAATCAATGCAATATAGCAAACTATATAATATCAGTGGAGAGACTGAATCAATATATGCATATACCAAGTGAGGCCCCAGAAGTAATAGAAGGAAATCGTCCTCCTGTGAATTGGCCGGTTGCTGGTAAAGTAGAAATAAATGATTTGAAGGTACTTGTTACTATTTTAAAACTTGTTGCATAATGTCCTAATAAGTGGGAGTTGAATTGAAATAAATAATTTTCTTTTTGATATCAAAACAGATACGATACAGGCCTGATGCACCACTAGTACTACGTGGGATCACATGCACATTTGAAGGAGGTCACAAAATTGGTATTGTTGGCAGGACAGGCAGTGGAAAGTCCACTCTTATTGGTGCTTTATTCCGTTTGGTGGAGCCAACTGGTGGAAAAATCATTGTTGATGGCATTGACATTTGTTCCATTGGACTTCATGATTTGAGGTCCCGTTTTGGTATTATACCTCAGGATCCTACTCTTTTTAATGGCACAGTAAGATTCAATTTGGACCCATTATCTCAACACTCTGATCAAGAGATATGGGAGGTAATAACTCCTACGTTATTTTTCAGCATGTTGTTGAGTCTTTCTTGTTTGCTTATCTCTACTCTCCATAGCAAATATGGACTAATTTTAGCTTATGTGATATGAAGGTTCTTGGGAAGTGTCAGTTGCAAGAAGCTGTGCAAGAGAAAGAAGAGGGTTTAGACTCCTCAGGTACACTTTTCAAGTCTTGCTATTACAACTTTGCAGGGATATATTCTAGTCTAATTAACTATGGAGTAGTAACAAAACTGTTATACAGTTGTTGAAGCTGGGGAAAACTGGAGCATGGGACAACGACAGTTATTCTGTTTGGGGCGTGCTCTTTTGAGAAGAAGTCGGGTATTGGTGCTTGATGAAGCAACTGCATCAATTGATAATGCAACTGATTTGATTCTGCAGAAGACAATTAGGACTGAGTTTGAAGATTGTACTGTAATCACTGTAGCTCACAGGATACCAACTGTAATGGATTGCACTAAGGTTCTTGCCATCAGTGATGGTAAGTTGCATATTAACTACCCTCTGCCTCATCATTCTCATTGAACACGTTTTTACAAACTGATCCGCAAACCAAACAGTCATTTGCTAATCAGTTAACAAGGCAAGAGGACAAATAAGGTTGTTCATCTGTGTCTCTTGAGCACAGGGTCTTGTTAGTATGTTTAGTCATTTAGCATTTTTGGCTTTTGATCATACAAAATTATGAACACGTAAAATATGAGGTACTTTGATCACACATTTTAACATGTGTCACATGTTGCGGAGAAGGCATTTGGTCCTTTAGTTATTTTCTTCTTAGAAAATAAAATGTGTGATTGTATTTTTCAGGAAAACTGGTAGAGTATGATGAGCCAATGAACTTGATGAAGAAAGAAGGATCGCTGTTTGGGCGGCTTGTCAAGGAATACTGGTCTCATTTTCAGTCTGCAGAATCTCAGTGAAGCTGAAAATGTTTTATGATGTAGCCCTTCTGTTTCTTTCTGTGGGATTGGCAAGTAGCCAAGAAAGTGTAATTAGAAGTAGGATGTATAATGTATTATGTTTGGAAATAGTCTAAATGCCTGAGAAGTGGGAAAGGAATTAGAGGGACATAAAAAAAATAGTGCAAAGGGAAATGTACCATTTCTAGGATGACGTATGATCTGTTTCGCACCGGAAAGCTGCATTATTTACCAATGAGGGTTTGTAATTGCACAACATTTTGAAGTGACATTTTGCATTATATAATGTGGCAGTCGTTGTTTTCTGCTCTATTAACCCCACAAAAGGACCCAAACAACTCGAATTTGATATGCTTGGTAACTATTTATTGAATGATCCCAGCGAAACGACATAATATTGGGTTTCCCTAGCACACAATTTCATTTTCATGTTGTAATTGCAAATGCTCCAGTCCAAAAATTTTATTTGTTTTGATATGAATATTTTTATACGTAAACTCGCTGAAGAAGTATAAGTAAGATTTCGTTTTCAAAACTTGTCCATGTCAGTGTGTCAACAAGCTTCCGAACAGTAAATACCTATGATTTTTTTTCAGATTCAATTGGTTGTTTTGCATATCTGATTTGATAATGCCATCCAGATCAGTCTAGAGTCTGCAATCTGCATCACCAAATCACAATAGTTAATAACTATGTTCGATTTCACCACTAAGTTTTTCTTTAAAAAATTAACCCAATAAACATATGGCTTTTTTTTTAGTATAAGAAACATATGGCTTTAGTATCAAAGAAATTCTAACCTTCAATAAAATACAAACAGAAGATAATAAATAAATTTATTACAAGAACTTATCTTCTTCATAAACCCATCAATATAGCTTAATATATAAGGGATCTATTAATCTCATGTTGCATGAGATAATTATCTTATGGAACAAAGATAAGATTGTGGAATCCACTACTTTTTCAAAATAAAAATAAAGATTTGTGAACCCCACTATTTTGTCTCTGTTTTCAATATGAGATAATTATTTCCCTGCATATAAATCATTCATTCATGAAATCTATTTTGCTAACATTAAAATAGTATCAAACTATCAATTCTCTCAAAATTCAAAATAAATAGCATCAATTACTATTTACTACTACAACAATGTTGTAATACTCTTTAAAAAAAAAAAATGATATTTTGAACCTTTGGAGCCAATTTTCTATTTCCCGCCGACGCACACATCTCTCTCCAAATCACTTTCCGAAACGCCGCCGTTTCTCTTTTCTCATTCCCTTCTTTTGAAACGCTCTATCTCTTTCTCTCTCTCTCCGCCGTGCCGGCAGCCATTCTCAGCCGCCACGAAATGGATCCAATAACACAGTACTCCCGCACCCACCGCATCGTTCTCCTGATAGATCTGGACCCACTCCTCCACAACCACAACCATAACCATTACACAACCACCGTACTCTCCTCCGCCAAAACCCTTCTCTCTTTCCCTCCCCTCTCTTCCTCTCTCTTCGCCTTCAAACTCTTCTTCTCTTCTCTCTCTCCTCTTCTCTCCTCCTCCAAGCTCCACCCTTTCCTCCCTAAACCATCCCTCTCTCTCTCCTTCGACCACTCCTCCTCCACTCTCCACCTTCTCTCCCACACCCTCTCTTCCCTCCCTCAATTCCCCACTCCTCCACCGTCGCACCACCCCAAAGCTTCCCACCTCGCCGCCTCCATGCGCCAGCTCCTCCACGACTACGCCTGGGACCCCGATCCGGTACCCGCCGACACTTATAATTCGGTTGTTGTTCCCCACAATTTGGTCCTTTTGTTCTCGCCCATGTTTGAATCTTTCCAGGGTTTATCTGCGTTTCTTGACGTCAACGCTGGTGATGAGTCGTTGCGAAATGTGATTTCTTTTTGTGAGAGGCTTTCTGGGTTCTTTGGGAGTGTGAGTCGTTTGTTTGATTCCAGGGGTATTCATTTCAGTTGGGTTAGTGTTAGTGATAGTTTTGGATTTGAGAATGATGAGGTTAGAAACATTCGTGGGTTGTTTGAGACTGGTGCTGGGAAATTGGGTTGGGGTTTTTGCTCTGTTGATTCAATTGTGCTTGGTTCAGTTCTTGTCCCTTTTGGCTTGATTTATCCCAAGATTGGGATTTCTTGGGAATCTGTTCGGGTAAATCATTGTTCTTCTAGGAAAGTTCAAGTGCAATTGAGTCTTCAGATCTTGGATGTAAATGGGAATCCCATTGAGCTCAACTGTTGTGATCTTGAGTTGGTTGATTTGAAAATTTTAGGTAGATGTGAGGATGTACGGCTTAATCCGGAGTTGACGAATTTGCAAGCTGGAGGTTGTGAAAGAAAGGAAAATTTGTGGAAACTGTGCTTGGATGGAATCACGAAATTGGAACTTAAGGTTGTGCGGAAGAGTGATGCTTTTGTTAACTTAAGGGACTGCTTCTCTCATTCTGTTCTCGTGCGTGAGGTTTTCAGAGAATCTACGAAAAAGCACAAGGGAAGTTCGAATGAGTCTTTTGCAGATAGGGTTCTTGAAATTGTTGCAACTGATTTTGGTTGCCAGTGGCAGAGAAAATCGGTACCCATTTGGGAGATCCTCTTAAGTTTTCTCTATAAAGAAGGTTGCTGGGCTTTGGTATCTGTTACCAATGGCAATGGTCGTTCTTGTATGGGTATTCTAAGGCCTTTTACCGTTTCTTCTGCCCTTTTATCTATATTAGGGGATCCACAAATGGCTTGTGATTCTGGGGGAGCAAATATGGTTCAATATGTTAAAACAGTGGATGCTGAGATTTGCAAATCTGAGCGCAAAGTTAAGAAGAACAAGGATTTGTTGGACTCTCAGGCTAAGAAGAGTGCTATAGGGATTGAAGGGCATCAGAAAAAGAAAATGATGGATCTGAATACACTTCAAAACCTCACATGGAGCTCCTTTTGTAATTTAGTACATGATCAATTTGAGATAGATTTGCATGACGTTTATTATGTCATGGAATGTAACAAGTCAAAAAAGTTGAAGTTTTTGAAATGCTGGATGAAACAGATGAAGCAATCTGCCTGCTGTAATCCAACTTTATCAGAAAAACCAAAGCCAAATCAGATAATTGCAGAAGAGGTTAAAGATAAATTGACTGAGTTACCTCAAAACGGTGAACAGCCAATCTCCTCACCTGCCTCAGCTGGAATTAACGCTGACGCTTCTACATTACAGGATAATGATGTGCTAGATTTTAGGTCAGAAACTTCTGAAGCATTTTTCAGTAACCTTTCCAACAAGATTCACCAGGGAATTGCATCTGAAGTCATACACCTGGGGGCTTTGTCAGAGCGTCTTGTGAATTCATCTATATACTGGCTACGTCAGAAGGTTGACAGGGAAAATATTTCTGAGTGTCATTCTCCTTTAAAAGGTGATAATGCTTGTGGTAGCGTGCTTGCAACTGAACTGATAAAACTTCTATTAAGGGAGCCCAAGGAGTTAGCTGCAAAGCATAAAAGCAGAAATTCATTCTCGCAGGCATCCGATCCAGGACCTACCACACTAATTACAGAACATGTAGTTAGAGAGTATCCTTTGATGAATTATTTTCTGCATGTGATGCAATTTTTGTTTCATAATTCTAATCGGTTGTAAAATTTGTGAACTTTTGTTCCATGTTTTTCCTTAATGAGCATTAGATATGAACTGCAGATTTTATTTCGGATGCAAATTTTACAATCAGAGGTTGGAAGTGGAGTTGAAGATTCCAGCAAACAGAAGTTTGTCAAACAAATATGCTTGCTTTTGGAGAACATTCAGTGCCACATGGAAGGGGGTTTCTTTGGTGATTGGAACCTTGAAAATTATGTGGCAAAGATCATAAAAAACAGGTACGAGATTTATACACCGGAAATGGGATTTTTTAGATGTTGATTGATGATTCTTCTGAAAAGTTATGATATATACAAATTATGGAATTTTATGGAATTCCTAGCTTCTACTTGGAGTTTATTCTCATTTGCTGCAATTATGCCAATATATATGCATATTTGTTGCCGGAATGCTTTCTACTATGTACCAGAGACGGAGTACAAAATGAAAGGGTAGCGTTTCCCTAAAACATTACTTCAGTATGAAACTGACAAGGTGTACTTGTTCTGCGTTATTGCAAAATAACTTTCATCTTATCACCACTTTTATTTGTCCAAACCAGAAGTATTTAAAACTAAACACAGAAAATATTGTTATGAGTTTCTTTTCGTGTGTTTTTCTTTTTCCATGGAAACAATATAATTAAGTTAATGAATGTATAAAGTAAAGAAAACATTTAGACTTATGATTGGGAAATCCCTGACTATTCAGATATTCTCACACTCTTGAAGACGTGGTTCATAAAATCTACAACAAAATGGACCTGCTGCTGTTTGCAGATGAGGATGAAGCCCCAAATAGTTTACTCAACAGTGAGGACAGCAACAAATCATTGAACAAAAAAGTACAGAGAGATGAAACGGGTGAAAACGATGTCAGTCATGAACCTGTTTCAGCAGAAAATGAACCCTTTCAGTTGCAGACGAATGACAGTGGAAGATTCCAAAGGATTATAGAAGAGGATCATGATCAAAAGCTAGTTGAAGCAAAGGAAAGGAGAGAGAGGGCAAGGAGATTTTCATCTTTTACAAGTTGGATGCCTGATTTGCAGAGAGTTTGGGCTCCAAAACAAAATGGTATGAAATCCAAGACAGATCCCTTCCGAAAGCTGCCAAAAAGGAAAGAGCGACAAAGGGCAAACGATGACACAGTATGTGAGACACCTATGACTATGACAGGAAACAAGCGTTCTAGCCGATGGAGTGATGGGAGTCAAAAAAGTGGCTCAGTTTCTAAGGCATTGTTTCAGGATGATCATTGATGTGAGTAAACTATACCTGACTTCCACACAGAAATTGTATATGCAACCTTGCAGTGCAGAGTTAGCTCAAGATGGGTGCTTTCAGTGTTCAACCACAAATGGTGGATAACATGCCTGAGCTCCGGAGTTAAATTTGCATTCCCAGTGTTCACGACACTAGCATACTAACACCATCAGTTGATTCACTACATAGCGATATATAACTGAGTAACTTGTTCATTTGTTCAATTCGATGTATTTGATAAGAACAAAAATTAATAACAATAATCATTGGAGATAGAGTTGTGCTTTACTGCATTCTGCTACATGCATGAAAACATTTTGAAGGAAATAGGAGTATATTATTAAAATTTTATTTTGTATGGAGTAACCTGTCTCCGTATCTCTGAGATATACATGATACTCTTCAGAATCAACCTAACAATCCCAGGACTAGAAGTAGAGACTCCTAATACATCAGACATAAGCAGTTGATGCATATCCAAAGGAGGATTCCCTCATACAGCTCAAAATAGCTAGAGAGTAGAATAGTGTGGGGCTTGTTGTATGGGCCAGGGATCCGGCCTACTTAGACGTGAAGTATTTCCAGACTATAAACCCACATAAAACAATTTGCCAGTTTCAAGTCAGGTCAAACAATGTAGCCCAACTCATGTATCCTTCCAGCTACACTGAGCTACACATATGAAATGTTTTTAAGTATGACCTTACTATCTGTTATGTCAAAAACTAGCTAATATAAAAAGTTGTTTTTACTTGGAACTAACATTTTATACATGATCATCAAAAACGAATAAGGAAATTTCAATCAAAATTTGAAAATTATACAATCATTGGTAAGATATACTTGCCATAAATTTTTTTTTATCACATTTACAACCAACCTAATTAACGTTAAATGAAATAAAAGATATTGGATAAGACACATTTTATCATTTGAATGAAATCAAATTATTTGTAACTAATATTTTAATTGAATTTAAATTTTTGAAATTAGAATATATAAAATATTAGGATAACTAATAGGGGAATGATATACTTACCACCAAAAATTTTACTACGCTTACAACCAACTTAAACACCGTTGATTTCCGTCAATCTAACGGTTATACTTTATTAGAAATTATTGGGTTGTACTTATTAATTAATTATTAGTTCTCAATAAATTATAACCGTTAGATTGACGGATATTAACGGTGATTAGATTGGTTGTAAAGATGATAAACATTTTTTGTGGTAAGTATATTTTATCCCTAATTAATAATATAGATGCATTTTGAGAGTATGAATTTGAAGAGAAACAAATTTATACATTAATGACATGGAATAGGGGAAGTATATTGTGACAACCAAGTTGTGTTACTACTAAGTGACTACCAATCAATCTTACTGTTAGATCAATTATATTGATCCAACGGTTATATAAAGTATTAAATATAAAGTAATCATAACCATACAAAGGTGAAAATAAATATAAAGTATTAGATTTGGGGAATCATAACCATACAAAGATGAAAATAAATATAACCGTTGGATCAACATAATCGATCTGAAAATCATAACCATACAAAGGTGAAAATAAATATAAAATATTAAATTTGGGGAATCATGACCATACAAAGATGAAAATAAATATAACCGTTGGATCAACATAATCGATCTCACGGTAAGATTGATTGGTAGTCACTTGGTAGTAACACAACTTAGTTGTCACAATATCCTTCCCCTGGTAACATAATATATTAACTCCACTCGTATAGAATGTATTCTATATAATAGTATATGAAAAAATTGTTTGTGAAATGCTTTTTATTTTTATTTTTAACAGTGGAGTGCAAATTAATCAAAACTCAAAATTGTAATTGACTGCGAACAAATTTTTAACAAAAATCTTCAACGATCTACATGATGAAATTAATAGTACACGAAAGCCTCATTAAATTGAGAGCCAGTTAATTTTCAAACTCATTTTGAAAAGAAAACTTAAATCGCTGAACATTCTAGATAATTCAAGAGAAAATAATGTTAAATACGGTTAAAAAAAACTAGTTCTGAAAAGAAAACTTAAATCGCTGAACAATATTCTAGATAATTCAAGAGAAAATAATGTAGAATACGGTTAAAAAAATGAAGTTTGTGCACCACTAGGGATAACCTAGTGATGTTGGGTGTGTTTAGTATGTATTAGGTGTGCGGTTCGATTCCCTGTAATGTCAAAAAAAAAATGAAGTTAATTTGTTGAATTGATCTTATCTGCTGATTTCGAAGAAAGAAGGCCAATACAATTACAAATCTTCAAAGTCGTCCAAAATTTGTGCTCTATCACTATAGCAGGCTGCACAAGCCCGAGACTATACAAATTTCCATCCACGACGGATGACTAGGCAACTCAATCTGTTCCCCCACATATTACGCCTAAAATTATGACATATATTTCAACATTGGTGGCTCCTGCCATTTTCAGCTTGCAACGTTAATTCCCCACATCAGTGATACGAAACCGCCCGATTGGGCTGGGTCGATTCAGAACATGATGAATTGGTCATTGAATTGGTTCGAGTCAAGTATCAGATCCGGTCCAATCCGATCAAAATCCAACCAAAATTGGTTATAAACGGTGACTCGATTGGGTCGTGCATTTTTTATTAAAAAAAAGTCAAAAACCAAAATTATTTCATCTTGTCAGAGAAAAATATAGAACACATTTTAATTTTTTTTGTAATTTTGTTTGCTAGTAGTATAGTCTTCTACAATGATCTCAAATTTCAGCTTCCAATACAATTTGAGAAACAATAAATTAAGAGAATGTGACATATGTCATTTCAACATAAATGAATTTGAAAAAATTGCGAAACAATTTGCTTATTTAGTGAATTTTATTTAACTCATTTTAAATATGAAGAATATAATTAAATTTATGTGTTCATATTTGTATATAATTTTATATGTATTTATATATATCCAAATTAATCAGTCCGGTTAATGACCCGCCTGTTCAACTAATGAACCAGTATCTCAATCGGATTCATTTCGGGTTGGGTTTAATAACTCTGCCCCACCTCTACCCTATTGAGAATATCCTTTAAAATGCTACATATTTATCTTGCCGGTCCGTTACGAGCTTGACTTGATATTGCTATTTTAATTAGTCAAGAAGACTTTAAACTAGAGAATGTGGGAAATGACATGCTACTTACTTTTCCTCCCTAAGAGGAATGCTGACTGCAAGCAATTTCTTACCCACAAGGCACGGTGCTCATAATTTCTTCCCCCAACTTCTGTACGTACATGCCCTCCAACACCTATAAAATGGTACCCTCTCTACATTCCCTGAACCAAACCAAGAAGCTAATAGAACTGATTCGAGGCATAGAAACATGGCAGCCCTCAAACAAGTTTCATTCTTATTATTGCCTCTGTTGCTCATTTCCCTATTCAAGTCCTCCCAAGCTGCTGGTATTGCTGTCTATTGGGGTCAAAACACCAACGAAGGGTCCTTGGCAGATGCTTGCAACACTGGCAACTACCAATTTGTGAACATAGGTTTCTTGTCCACTTTTGGAAATGGCCAAAACCCACAACTAAACCTTGCTGGCCATTGTGATCCAAGCAGCAATGGGTGCACAGGATTAAGTAGTGACATAAAGGGTTGCCAAGGCAAAGGCATAAAAGTGCTCCTCTCACTTGGAGGTGGTGCTGGAAGCTACTCTCTTAACTCAGCTGATGAAGCCACACAACTTGCAAACTACCTCTGGAATAACTACCTTGGAGGACAATCAAATTCACGTCCATTGGGTGATGCTGTCTTGGATGGCATAGATTTTGACATCGAAGCTGGTGGAGACCAACATTGGGATGAACTTGCCAGTGCACTCAATGGCTTCAGCCAACAAAAGAAGGTGTACTTAGCTGCAGCCCCACAATGTCCATTCCCTGATGCTCACTTGGATTCAGCAATCAAAACTGGCCTATTTGATTATGTGTGGGTTCAGTTCTACAACAACGCTCAATGCCAATACACAAGTGGAAACACTAACAATCTCATTAGTGCATGGAACCAGTGGACCTCAAGCCAAGCTAAACAAGTATTTTTGGGGGTACCAGCGTCTCAGGCTGCTGCTCCAAGCGGTGGTTTTATTCCTGCTGATGTGCTAACTTCGCAGGTTCTTCCTGCTATCAAGGGTTCACCCAAGTACGGTGGAGTCATGATTTGGGACAGATACAATGACGTCCAAAACGGATATAGTAATGCTATTAAGGGCAGTGTTTAATTAGTTCGAGGTTGAATAATCGATCTGTATCTTTGGAATAAGTAGCACGTTCTGTAGGTTCTGTACCTACATGTTGAGTGCTATGTGATCACTTAGTTATATGCGTGTAACAATAATAATAATAGATGACCTTGAAATAATAAGACTTTCAGGAAAATGTAGCTCCTTATGAAATGTCATTTTTATTCGGATTTGTATTCTCTTATATTATTTAAAGATCGTTATAATTTTATATTATAAGAAAGAAAAACAAATTAATTATACTCATATAATACTGATATATATACACTTGTACAAATAATGATAAGTACCTGGAAAAATTGTTTTTTTTTTTTTGGAGAAAAATGTTTATCCTTTTAATGACACAACTTATATCATTTCACTCTCACAAAGAAATAGGACCCAAATCTTTATTTTTTTTTGTCAACTCTCTCTCTCTTCCTTTATCTATCTCTTTCTCTCTCTTAAAATGACACAACTTTACATCTTTTAAAATGATACATATTTTTTCCTTTTTTTATGGGAAAAGTGTGTCATTTTAAATGACAGAAAGTTATGTCATTTTAAGAAATATACAGACACAGAAAATTTAAATTTTAAATTAAAAAAAATCACTCACTTTCTCTCTCCCATAATTTCTATTTTTCTGTGTCTATCTCTCTCCTAAAATGACATAACTTATGTCATCTAAAATGATAAATACGAATTTTTTTTATATGTAAAAAATATCCTGTTATTAAAACAAAAGAGAGGATAGATATACCTTCATTCTATGCTTTTGAGTCTTATGTTGTCCCTACGGTTGCCACGTATCTATTTTTTTGACTTTTTTTCTTTTCGTGAAGACTTTTCTTGTTTCCATAAACTTTGAGCATTGATTCACGTTACCCTCTTGAAAAGGTAATTAATTTTAAGGAAAACAAGAAATATTTTATTTTAAGTAACAATGAACACAATTACCTATAGTTAATCATATTTAACCCAAATCTCCCTATTTCTAATCATGCGAGATGTAAGTTTAAATTGCTATGGATTAGGAAACCATCTGCCAACGAAAAGACTAAAGAAGATCACAAGACATATATAATGTGCAAATAAAGATCCTCAAAACAACATGATAAGAGGTGCCTTGATTAAACTGTGTATTAGATTAATTTACTGTAATCTTTTACTTTTTATACTATAATTTTTTTGTTAGTATTTTTTTTTTTTATTTCATTTCATTTGTATATATTTTTTTAAGAAAAGATTGGTTTACCAAATTAAAAAAAGCCTAAACAAAATTAAACATAACGATCGCACTTACATGACAACTCCAAAATTGGTAAAAAAATAAACATAACTTATTCTGACCACGAAGTACTAAGTTAATTATTTACACTACCATATAGAATTAACAGTAGCAATTAAACACCCAAGGGATGTCCCATAAGAACAGATACGCAAGATCTTTCTTAAGAAAAGATTGACAGGACTCCGAATGACCATACCAAAAACCATAAATTTTCTGCATTAAAATTGCTTGTTAAAGACTCGAATTGAATAACAAAGTAGAAAGTATCTCGGCAATGTTTTTATCATGTTACATGAGATAGTATTATCTCATGTAGAGATATAATTGGGTGGGTCTCACGATTAAAAGAAAAAAAAAATACTATTGCGATGTATAATCATAATCTGGGGGTTGTTTCTTTATTTGCCGTTAACTATCCTATAAAAGACAAACATTTTTTCCTATGTATAATGTATTTGGTATATCAAGGGTGATCTTTTATGATTTTTTGGCTTGTTTTTAATTAATACTTATGTGGCTTATAGCTGCTGGTTGATTTGTTTATTTGGTTTCGTATGTGTTTGATAAAATGCCCATCTGAGTGTGACTTGTGGTTATTTGAGGTGGTTGGGGTTAGATCGTCATTTGTAAATACTGCTGTCTCTTGCTGAATGCCAAGGTTATAATAACTTTTTTTATCCATAATTTTGGTAAATATACTTTGAGAAATATTTTTCTCAAGTTACATAAAATTTTTTATCTCATGTCACAGACACAATTATACCCACACGATTCCTGCACCGAAACCTAAATAACCCATATTTGAACAGAAAAACACAAACTGTAATTACAAAACATATTCAACCGTACTTAAAGGAAAATGTGGTTGTTACAACCATGAAAATTAGATTCAGGGGGTGGGAATTTTACAAGTTCTCACTGAATCTTATGAGAAAACACTTACGCAGACGTATAATTTTCCAAAGTTTTATTACAGTGCAATATGGGAATTATACTGAATATTTATTATTTATAATATTTGAATTTTAGGAACCAATTTATTTTCTTCAGGATTAAAAATAATTTCTTCATATAATAGTGTACCTTAAATACTATCAATATGAGAGAGGCATAGTGCTTTTCTTAATTTGCTCAATTATTTTAATTTTAATTTTTAATTTTTCATACAGTGATAATCATCGCTCTCAAATCTTTAATTGTGAACATCATGATATATACAAGAAAATACACTTATGATTTCCCTCCCTCTTTATTAAATTTTTGGCTCCGGCTTTGATTAAAAAAAAATTATTTATAAAACCTTAAATATATCATGGCATTCGATCTACTAAATTGAGTAACTCTTATATATGTAGAGAGAGAGAACGCTTTACACAAAGCGAAATCCAGAATATGAGATCAAACATGCTTTGATTCGCGTTGGTTATATATACATAACACCTAGGAAATCAAAGCTTGATGACTAGATATGTACCACAGAGGTAACATGTAACTAAATGGCGGAGCCAGAAAGGCAACGTGTAACTCAGTGGTGGAGCCAGAAAGAAATTTAAGTTAGTGTCAAAAAATTCAGCTGGTGCCACTGCTATATAGTTATGACCAAAACGTGATTAATTTTTAAAAACTTGAAACATGATTTGCTACGTTTCAAGCGTAGCTAAATAAACGTGGCTAAATTAGTCAGTGCCAAGGTATTTGCCGGCACCAACATGGCTCTGCCAGTGACTTATTCCATACATGCATAGACTGCATAGCAGATAGTCTAATATGGTTTAGGTAGCAAGCATTGTCTTGTTCAAGGTTATGGACCCTAATGATGTGTTTGGGAGTTTGAAAGGGAAAAGAAAGAAAGAGATCTAAGGGGAAGGGAGGGAAAGAAAAATAAAAGGTATTTATTTTCCCTTGTTTGGGAGTTAAAAATCCCCCTTTCTAATTTTAACGGTGAGAAAGATATTGGAGGGTTTTACCAAAATTCTCTATTTTCTTTCCCCATTTTTTTAAACTGAAAAATAAAGAGAATGCATAAGTAAAATCTTTCTTTTCTTTTCCTTTTCCTCTTAATAGTAACTCTCAATCACAGTCTAAGCGAGTTAGTTTAATCCCTCTTATTATGATTTAGAGTCCCAACGTGGTTACCTTTTTACTTATGGTTTATTAAAGTTTTAAGGCTTATAGATGTGAAGTGTTTGAGTGCATATATGAACTACTTGGAGTGTGATGGTATTTGATAGAGTTAGATGCCATATTTGAGAAGGGAAAAAGTTAACTCACATTTCTAAAGGACAATTATTGTTTAAGTCACGAGTATAAGTGACAAAGTAAGCAATTTTATTAATGATTTCTTAATTATTCTAGTTGCATTTAGTACCGTAATTAATTTAATATACTGGATCCCACACGGTAATTACATATACCACAAAGGAAATTAACAAGCATTTATTCCATACATACACATAGGCTGCAAAGCATATAGTTTGCACGCCTATGCCATGCCCATATTCTAATATGGTTTTGGTAGGAAGCGGCGCAGAGTTGCAGACACACACTCATATATATATTGCGTCCGAAACTCCTGTCACAAATTGCAACACATCTTTTGGAACATACGGCTTTATCTTATCGCTGTAGTTAGATTGAACATCATGGAATCTGTCCCAAAGCATAATTCCTCCATAGTTGGAAGCCTTCTTTATGTAGGGAAGTACATCAGAAATTAGCTTTTCTGGTTCTATATAACCCCCACTTGGAGCTGCATCAGGCGCTGCTGGTAGTCCCATGAATACCGAATTATTGGGTAGAACTAACGAGGTCCAATCGTCCCATGACTCAAGAAGCAATGCAGTATTGCCATCTGAATATTGACACTGAGCGTTGTTGTAGAACTGAACAAATATATAATCGAAAAGGCCAGTATTGATAGCTTTGCCAAGGTAGTAAATTGGGTTAGTAGGACATTGTGGGGCTGCAGACAAGTAGAATTTTTTGGGCTGTCTGAGAGTATCAAGTTCCCTAGCAAGGTCATCCCAATAATTCTCTGTTCTTTCGATGTCAAAATCAATTCCATCCAAGGTGACACTTCCTAGTGGACCTAATTTTCCACTGAGGAAGTGTTCATAGAGGTACTCGGCAACATTCTTTGCATCTTCGGCTGAGCAGAGGGAGTAGTCTTCACTTGCACCTCCGAGTGAAAGGAACACTTTGATACCTTTATTCTGGCAGTGTTCTATTTCGGGTTGTAGTTTGGTACAAAGACTCCAGTCGCCACAATGGCCTGCGAAGTTCCATGCTGGGGTTCTGTCACAACCAAAGGTAGTAAGGAAAGCGAGGTTCACAATCTCATAATTTCCAGTGTCACAAGTGGTGGTCAAGTTGCCATCGCCATTGTTTTGGCCCCAATAGATGGCGATACCACCAGTGGATGCCTCTGAAGACATGATGGTGAAGAAGAATGTCAAGAGGGACAAGAGAATAAGGATCAATGCTTGCCTTTCGGAAGCCATGGATGGATTTATGTTTTCTTGTTCAGCTCGATGAGTGTGAGAGCAAGAGAAGCAACCTATTTATAAAGGGAGAAATCATTTTTGCACATCAGAATAATTACTTGTACTTATACTTACTTATTTGAAAAATAAAAGTTGGAGAGGATAAGTATCCGTATTGGTATGGATATATTTTTCATTATTATTTAAAGAGGAAGGATCCGTTTACAAATTTTTCTGAATTTCTTTTACAAATTACACAGAACATAGTGAAACGAGTGTTCTTCCGGAAAAACATAAGGTAGTTTGTAAGAGTTTGTAAACAAAGAAGTTTGTAAATATAACATGTCCCTTACTTAAAATATTCAAACAGTAATTATATTAATTTTATTCTCTTTTATTTTATGCTACGCTGTCTCGTTTAATTTCATTCATATTCAGATATGACCAAAAAAAATCTTCTTTTAATGCTTTTGTCGCATTAAGGTAACCAGTGCTGGCATAGACCTTATAAAGCACGTGTTCAGCCACAAGAGTTTTGTCCGTGACGCTGATTTCCCGTGGCAGACTAATAATTTGTTATGCTTGGACCATGTTTGGCTTTGGACCGCAAACTCTTAAGCACGTGTTCTATTGCAGTTGTGCGAGTCAAGGACGTTGCTTTTCGACTCACAAGTCACAAAGCTCCTAAGTAGTAATGTCCTCTACAAATTTTTACGTAACGATTTTTTCCCGCTCCCAAAATATGGACCACATGCACTAGTGTGAGGTACAGTATATTTATTTTAAAATAATCTAAAAAGTACACAATTAATCTTTATGTGATATAATTTTAAAAAATTAAATATATGTAAAAAAATAACTATGCAATAAATAAACGACATTATTAGGATAAATCAATTATCGAATTAAACCCCGTAAAATATGGCATGCCAGTATTTTTAGTTTAAATCTTATAAATAATATGTTATATCATAATTTAGAATGTCCACTTCGATTATGGACAGCATAAAAGTTATTATATGACATACAAAAAGAAGAATGATAAACTTTATTTTCACATTTAGGGTTTAGATTAGGTAAAGAGAGTCTTTATTTTCGCATTATTTGAGTATGCATGAATGTTGTATCTTTTTTTGTGATCAGTCATGAATCTTTTTCATTTGTAGAACAACTCAAAAAAATAAAAACTTGGGGTAAGGAATAACTCAATTGACAACTGAGCTTTTAAGTATTTGTTTGTATCAGCAATTCAAACTATGCTTCAAGTAAATTATTAAAAAATCTTAAAAAAATATAATTATTGATAACTCAATTTTCATAAAGGAATCAAAGTTTATTCTATTACTTTGTATAGTACTATTACTGACATGACCTTCAGGGTTCTCTGGAGAATTTCATGCTTGTCAACAACTTTTTCAGTGCCAGAACGATATCCTTGGACCACCTACAGCTTTGGGTACGGATAATATAGAATGCTCTCATATTTTTAACAAGGTTTATACATCGTTACCTAACTTTCTAAAAATTTCTCGCAAACTAGTTAAGGATACACTTGCTCATTTAGATTAGGTTGTAAAATTAGAGTTTAAATTTGTAGTATTTTAAATTATATAAATAATAAAAACCATATAAATATAAAGTAATATATTTATAAGAAGGATGGTTTTATGCAGCCTTACACTTTTATGACCCAATTTTATCAAATATAATAAGGAAAAAATATTTATTTTTATCGTAACAAAATTTTTTCTGTCCTATTTATATAAAAGTGAGTGAGTTTCATTAATATTTTCTCCCATCTCTTTTTTTTAAGTCTTTCATCTCTTTATAAGTAGACTCAATCACTTTTATATGAATGTGATATAAATTTTTTTTTTGAAAAAAAACAAAACATTAAACCATGCAATACAACATGAAGCTTACATTTCATGGGCCTCGGTCGCAATGCAGTGTACGTGGGTCCACACAGGAAGAGGCATCAGCACCACTGCACCCTTAAACAATGTTTTTTTTAATGAATAGATAAAAAAATAAAATAAAATAAATATTTTTTGATCTCTTTCTTTCTCCGCATTTCCACACAATAGCTCGATGCTGTAAGAATTAAGATAAGATCTAGTGATTGCTTACCAAAAAAAAAAAAAGAAGATAAGATCTAGTGATTCTAATGGATTTATATAAGATATAATTTAGGTAAAAAAATTTAAAAATTTGCGGTTGTCGTCTTCTGGATTTAATAAGAATGTGTGTATTATTTTTAATTACATATCATCTTCCTTTTTTATTTTTTTTATAAATAAGTTATGTGCAATAATATATTATTGTATTTTTATTAAAAATTAATATCCCAAAACGCGTAAGCAATTTTTTTTTATTTTTTTTTTTATAACAAGCAATTTTATCTTTTCTAGAATGGTGTTAGGCTCTTTACTTTCCCATATATTCAAAAAAAAAAAAAAATGGTATTTGGGTTATTACGCTTTCATCAAGCTCAAGCACAATAGGTCGAACGCCACAGGCCCACAGCAGAGCGGTGGCCAGAATTTTTAAAAAATATACCCACGGCACGTTTTTAGTGAGAGGAGCAAAAATAAGAGCGTAAATGGGATAGGTCGGTCTATATGTGTTTATGACTTAATTTATATTAGGTCAGACTTGATCTATTATAAATAGTAAAATAGAACAGGACGAGACTTTTAAAAAAAATCTATTTAGAAAACAGGTCATAAGATTTTTTATAATGTCGGACCCATAAGCCGACAGGCTGGCCTATATCATAATATTTATTTAAAATATAATAAATAAAATTATTACTTTAATAATTTTGAATAATAAAATAATATTATTTTAGTTATTCTTTTAATTGTTGAATGTTTAATAGGCTTAAACAGGCTAACAGACATTGGGTAAAGCTTTTATTTTTTAAATATAGGTCAGACCAGACTTATAATTTGGGGCCTGCACAGGCTAATAGGCCAGATCCATACCCAATATATTTTACACAGGCGTGACATATTTAAGCCAAAAGCCTAGCCTAGCCTAGCCTAGCCTATTTACACCCCTAAGCAGAAGCCACACATTACTACATGCTAAATTTCATAACTAGGGTGTAAATGGGTCAGGCTGGCTGGGCCTAGCCTACACCCCGGCCTACATTGAGCCTGGCCTGGCCCGTCCTCCGTTTAAAAATTGAATATGCTTAGGCTTATAAGAAAGCTTTTTAACAAATAGGTCGTAGGCTACTTTTGTCAAGCCTGACCTAAAGCCTTGTAGGCTAGCCTATTTAATTTTTAAAAATAAAATAAAATAATATATTTATTTTAGGTGGCAATTAGTACCAACCCTTATCTTGATAGTAGTTTAAAGATATTTCAATGAAGGATATTCTCTTGTAGACTTTATTTCAGCTTTGGTTGACCTAGTAATTGTATTTTTTTATTTTCTCCATTTCTTTGACTCTATTCCTCTCTGATATACATTATAGAGCTAGGGTATTATGTTGACTCTTGTTTGTCATTTTTTATTTCTTATGAGAAGTACTAGTGCTTGCATGAATGAAACTTTGTTCAGTATATTTTTTTAGTTATTTTTTTAACTATTGTAAAAATTTTAATGCTCACTAGTGAAATTTATATCTCATGTAAAAATAAGCAGTAATTTATGAACACGTTATTGACTTGTGATGTCAAGTGAATATTTTAAAAATTGTTAAAAATATTTTTCAAATTTTTTAAAAATATATCACGAGGGGGGCCTACAAGGCCTGTAAGCCATATCAGGCTCTCTAATTTTTTAAAATAGGCCAGACTTGGCCTATAAATAAAGCATTTAGTATGCCAGATAGACTGAATATTTTTTTACGTAGGCTTAGGCCAGGAAGGCCAAAGCCCAGCCCAGCTCATTTACACCCCTAGTCATAACTGGTAATCCCTAAGGACCACAAACATTTTTTATTATAAACAATATAATTATATTAATATCCACAAATAATGTGTAACTTCTATATTTTTTATGGGTTGATAATATATAATTAAGAGGATTTAATTTTGTTACTTACTTTATTGTAAAATATAGATTATTCTATCTACTTTTTTTCTGCCTACCACTCTCTAACACCGTTAGATCCTAAAGATGAGATAGAAAGATAAATATTAATTAAGATTATGATCTAACGGTGTTGGAAAGTGATAAGTAAAAAAAAATGTAAGTAGAATAACCTATCTCTTATTATCATACATGATAGTTGAGAGTTGGTGATATACAGATCTTGAGAGATGATTATACAAAATTAGAAGATATTCCTCTACCTTTCTTTTTTATATGTGTTTTCTCTAATTATTTCTTTTCAATTTTATTTTTTTTGGTAAAGACAAATTATTTACTTTATCTTTGGTTATTTTGTAGGGAAAAAAATAAGTATTGTTTTTTTAATAAATATTTACGAAAATATAATCATTTTGAATGTAAATACAAATTTATAACACTCAAACACGCCTCACAGAAGGCATGACCGATTGGAAAGAGACACTCTCCACAGAGAGTGTGACTTACCAGGTGCTAACACGTGGCACAAAAAGTCAACAATTTGACTGTAAAACTTTGGAAGTCCATAACTTTTGAGTCGGGTGTTCGAATTAGGTAAAAAAAATTTGATTCCAAGCAACTTTTTGATATCTACGCAATGACACCTCATTTGACATTTTTTTTCTCTCACAAAAAAAGTTTTGAATTTACAACAATTATACTTTAAAAACTTTCAAACCCAGATTAATAAAGAGAAAATCACTATCATGATTATAAACATTCCTAGTAAAGATCCTTATGAGTATGGTACAATTGTTGCAAATTGAAATTATATTTATGGGAGACGAAACTTCAACTTAAACAACATCATTCACACTCACAGATATAGAATATACAAAACTGAGCACAAAAAAGCATTTTTCGAAAATATTTTTTAACCAAGTCCCCTTCGGAACTTGCCAACACATTCATCTCAAAAAGTTATGCGGAATAAA